AAAAAAACCAAAAAAAAAACCACACCACACCAAACGCCCACCAAAAACACCGCACCCACCAACTAAACCCCACACTCAACACCTCGCCATAAACCAATAACCTTGGGCACTAGAGCATGCCCTGAAGAGCCATGTCTACACGTTTCTTAAATACCTCCAGGGATGGTGACTCCACCACCTCCCTGGGCAGGCTGTTCCAGTGCCTGACCACTCTCTCAGTAAAGTAATTCTTCCTAAGATCTAATCTAAATCTCCCTTACCACAACTTCAGACCATTTCCTCTGGTCTTGTCATTCGTCCTTTAGGAGAAGAGGCCAACACCTGCCTTTCAGGGAGCTGTAGAGGGCAATGAGGTCTCCCCTCAGCCTCCTCTTCTCCAAACTAAACATCCCCAGTTCCCTCAGCGTCTCCTCACAGGACTTGTTCTCTAGACCCCTCACCAGCTTGGTGGCTCTCCTCTGGAATTTAGAATTTAGCCTCTACTTTTGCAAAGTTCTAATCCCGTATGTGAGAGAACTTAGAAATGTTTTAAGGAGTTAACTTGCAACTAGCAGTCAGTGAATACCTTTTTTTCAGGATTTTAGTTACTTAGAGTTAAAAGAATAGGGCAAGTTTACTTCTTCCAGTTGGATTTGAAAGGGGAGTAGTGATTAGAGCACTTTTAGTAGCACATTTTCCTTGATCTTGATTCCTGGTCTTTGTAGACCTATAGAGAAAGCACAGAAAGACATCCTTTGGAATGTCTTTCATGTTTGTACTGCAGAGGATATTCCCTGTCTATATACCAATGTGTCCGTTTTATTCCAGAGCAAAATGCGTGTTTTGGTAATGTTCTTGTCCCTGAGGCACCAGTGTGATCCACCAGTACAGAGTGCCAGGACATCTGTACGCCAGTCTCTGCTGGGAAAAAGCATTTGAAAGGTTTCTCTTCCTGCTCTCAGAGCTGTGGGCAGTGAACTGGCAGGGCCAGAGGGGCTGGAGACGTGAGAACAGCCGGGCAAGGCCAGGGCCCAAGGAGGTGGTGCCATCTCCCTCTCTGGAGGGTTTCCAGCCCCCAGAGGGTACTGGCCTGAGCCCTGGTCTGACACCATGGCTGAGCCTGCTCTGGGCAGGGGTTGGACTGGCTGCAGTCACTGGTGCTACGAACCAGAGAAGAGGTGAGGTGAGCAGTGACCTCAGGAGGATGGTGGGTCCAACCCCCTGATGGGACCAGGCCAGCTTCCACTGACGTTCTTCATGGCATGGTCTAGTCAGTTCAATGGCACAGATAAAAGCAGGAGCTGAATGAACACTGTGAGAGCACGGGTGTGCAAGAGCTCAAAGGAGGTCCTGGATTCACCAGTGAAGCTGCGGGCACGCTAACATACAAATCCCAGAAAGGAAGGTTTAGGTGTCAGGAATATTATCTATAGGGACTAGCACACATGTTAAAATTAATGGCAGCATGTCCTTTACTTGAAGCACGAGGACTTTTTGTAGAAACATCAGTCTGTAGCAAGGAAGCAAGGGCTTCTAAGAGTGAGGAACATCGACATATAAGCAATGGTAATTAGGTAACATTACTTAAGATATTTTTGGCTGAGCTAAAGGTTGATGCTGTGAAGCAGTGATATCTCAAAGGCAAATGTCTGAAGCTTCATCTATAACCTTTATGTAACAGTAAGCCAAAATGTCTGAAAATGTACAAGAGCCAAAAGTTAATTTCCAGAACTTTAAGTGCCATGCCAGCTTCTCTTCCATTTAGAAAATACTCTATAGTGCAGTAGAGTGTCTTTTTCAGCTTCAGTTAAATATGGCTAACAGTTGCCAGACTTTTGGTTTTCAGTAGAAGCAGCAACATAAGAAATTACAGGTCAGGGAATACTGAAATCTAGCACTGCAGGCTGTACATATAGTAATTCGGTATTTCTGCCAAAATGTTCAGTAGTGTAGCTGACTGATGAAACTGCAGTTTCAATGTTCTACATTCATCCATGAGGATGCAAAGCAGTTGTCCTTGCTGAGGTTTCTGTCTGTCTCAGGCTGCCTCTTCACTGTGGATTAACCCTGCATCACTTTGTCTCCTGCTGGTGTCCCCTTCCCCATTTCTATGACATCAGTATCTAGAAACAATTTCTGATAACCTAGATTCTGGAGGAAGGACCTTCTGGCATTTGGGATTTTTTTTTTAGTAGGCAAGGGCAGCTGCACAGACAAACCACACAGTACAAAGAACCTGGAAAATACGTGATGAGCAATTGATTTCATGCCAGTTTTTGGCAGAGAATAGGGCACTGGCAGGCTGAGGAACATTTGGGTTTGGTCTGCTTTTAGTGTTGTTACTGCCAAGGTCTGACACTTCCCCTTCAGGTTGGAGCCTGGAGAGGTCGCTGATGCAAACTGATTAACTTGTTTGTTGATTAATGATCACACTAGAAGGAAGTGGGTAGGACATCAAAATTATCAGTGATCTAGGTAATCAGGTATACCAGCCTGTAATTAAATGACAATGTAGGGTACTAGGCTTGACTATGAAACTGGTAATTACAGGTCTGAAGTGCAGTCAGACACGCAATCGCAATCAAATTACAATTCTGTTAGCATGGAGGTGCAGGTCAGTTTCTTCCCGTGCCAAATCTGGTGGACACAGACCTGATGGTGGGTTGGCCAAGGAGGGTCCCTCTGGTACCTCAATGGGCTGGGGCATGCAGGTCAACATCCCTGCTGTCTGCAGGCATCCGTGCTCCTGCTGCTGGAGGGTCTGCTTTCCTTTTTTCTCTGACTGATTTCATACCTTACTCCCTCACTGCTTTTTATTTTAAGCTGACTTCTTTGCCATCCTTGCATCCTTGCATCCTCTGCTCAGCACCCCACACCTGATTGCTTTTCCTAGTTTCTGCACCCAAACTGTGACTTGGGCCATATTGGCCATATGTGGCTTTACCACTTAGCAACATTTGGTGTTAGTAGTTTTGCACCCCAAAGTTCCTCTGCCGTTGCTCACTTCAGCCTGGTTGGACTTACCCAATTCCTAGACATAATTGCCTGGCTCCTATTAAGGATGAGCAGGTCCTTGCTCTATGCTGTTTACATACCAAGGCAGCAGAGTTTCTTGTTTTTTACAGTTCTGCTGCAGGCTGTCACAGGTCCCCCATGGGACCTTGGCTGCTGTGGGGCTGTGTGCCCCACTGGACCTCCAGTACGCCAAGGCCAAGGTGGTTGTGAACTCCAGAATGTGCAGGAAGTTGACTGGGTGAAGCTGTGAGGCACCTTTTGGTGCCAGGACCTCCAGGATGGGGAAATGGAGAAGTTCCTTAGAAGAGCATGGGGCAGTGGCAGAGCACCTGATAGAACAAGGTGATGGTGATGATTTGGGCATCCATGACACTGGCATGTCTTGACAGCAGCGCACTCAGGGATGTTTGTTTTCCTGTGACTCCATCCAATTAAGTTGTTCCTTGATGCCAGCTTGTTGTTGCCGTGGTGGCCCTGTAAAATGTGAATTGTACTTTGGACCCTTTCACTGTCCCTCAAGTAGTCCACAAAAAACCAGATGTATTTCTGAATGTTTTTTAGGATAGTTGCAGCCCTCATGACTGCAGCATCTGGCTGAGCTGTATTTACAGCTCTCTGTATTTCAGGCAAAATTTTCACATAGAGAGAAAACATACAAATAAAATGTGAACTATGAAGATGTGACAAAAGCATAATGAAGGATTCCAGTCACCTTTCTGATAGTGCATTTAAGAAAAGAAATGAACTTCAAAAAAAAAAAATTGGTAGCTAATAGACTCCATTAACTTTCAGAATGGCTCTTTTCAAACTGATCACCCAGTTTTCATTCCCATCTTCGCATATTTCAATAGATTTCCTTGTTCATTTGTGCACAAACCTATCACTCTGCCACATGTGTGTCTGACTGGTATTATGGATGTGGTGGCAACGTGATGTCTTTAATTCATTCCAGAGAAGTGCCAGCTTGTAAATGTGCTTATTACAAAAAAAAAAGGTAGCAAAATCTATAGGACTGGCTTTACACATTAGTGTCAAAGCATATCTAGTTTTTTTAATTAGAGGTTTTGCTAATCAGGAGTGTGTACACATCAAAAATTGTGCAGTGCTTGAGTGGATGCTTGTGTTGGTGGAGGCTGCATTAAATGTCCCAGCATTTTATGTGGTTTTGTTATGCTTTCTCTGCTGGTAATTTTATTTGAGAGTGCAGTTTGTGAAACTGAATACCAGAGGTGCCTTTCATTTTGCTCAGAATTGTTTCTGTTAAATTTCTGATGCTTAGTAGCATATTACACATATTACAAAACCAGTGCGTTGGGGTAGATGCTAAAAGGTATGTGTGTTGGATTAAGCACAACCCTTCTATGAAGGAT